TTCTATGTCAAGACTATAACACAGTTCATAACAGAGAAAGCTGTACGTTACAATATAATTAAATATTTCCATTTTAACAATGAAAAATGTAAAAGAGATTTACCCATCATGCAAGTAAGAAAAACAAACAGATGAGCAAGAGCTACCCAGTATAGAAATTAAATTTTTCAACTCATCTGCCAGGCCCAACCCTTATCTTTGTGCTAGCACAAGACTTCAGGTAGTAGGTAGGTAGCAGGAAAGTTCCTTTCTGCTACAACTGTAATTGCATTTCTGTGTACTAAGTGACACCATTTAACAGCATGCAGCAACTGAATCACTGCAGCAAATTCCTGCATTTTGAAAATATATTTAGAAAAAAAGAATAGGAATGTAGCCCTATTTACACTTGCATTTTTACTTTTTGAGGTATTATACTTTTAATTTATGAGCATCTAAAAATGTCAAATGACTTAAAAAACACCTCTAGCATTGATACATAGCTTCTCTCCCAACACCAGACAGCAAAGAGACAGCAAATAATTAGAATTACTTTCTGAAAACAGACAGCCCTGGCCACCAGCCTGGTAATTTCTTCCAGGTTTGCATCTTTCCTTTTGAGAAAACAATCGTTTAAGATCATACCCATGAGGTAAAAAATATAAGCATCATGGCTGAATGTACTTTGCTGAAGTAAAAAAAGTCCATGCACATGGCTATGTTTTCTTTCAAGGCATTGTTTGCACACACCATAATACAGCAGCCCTGTGGTTTTTATTGTTGTTTTTTAAATTAATAATAATAAAAAGAGATTAAAATAATAGAAGTTCATTTTGCTAGGTTCTTCCTGCTTTCACTTTTTCAGTGGGAAAAGAGTAAATGAGCATTTTCTGTTCTTCAGGCCTGCCCTGTTTGTTGAAGGTAGAACTTTTCTAGTCTTCTCCAAATTACATACTTAAGCAAATATAAAATTAAAATATGAGAACCTCCAAAAGGCAATCTCAGCTGAGTGCAGAAGCATATTATTAAATATGTAATATTTAATAATATGCTTCTGCATATTATTAAATATTACATATTTAATAATGTAATAAAATTCCCACTTGGAAACCAAAATTCCATTGAAAGGCAATAATCAAAGTTTTCCACAAGAGATGAGCAGACAGTTCTAGAAAGCAGTTCTGGAGCTCTCACTCTTCCACCTCAGGCTTTCAGGTGCCACATGGAAAGGTCACTGATCCAACACTGGCCAGGGTGCCACAGGTTAAATGCAGTGCTCCAGGGGATGCTGGCTTGTTTTCCAGAACAAAAATGAGCTGTAAGTCTTCCTTACAAGACAAATCCTAGAATCACAGAATGTTGTGTGTAGGAAGGGACATTAAAGATCATCCCATTCCAACCCTGCTGACATGGACAGGGACACCTTCCACTAGGAGGTTCCTCAGAGCTCCATCCAGCCTGGCCTTGGACACTTCCAGGGATGGAGCAGCCACAAGGTTCTTTTCTGGGCACCCTGTGCCAGGCCCTCAGCACCTTCACAGAGAAGAATCCAATTTAAGCCTGCCCTCTGTCAATTTGAAGTCATTTCCCCTAGCTCTGTCACTGCACTGCCCTTGTGAAAAGTCCCTCTGCCGCTCCCTCCTAACCCCTTCAGGCACTGGAAAGCTGCTGGAAGGTTCCCCAGCGCCTTCTCCTCTCCAGGCTGAACAGCCCAGTTCTCAGCCTGCCTGCACAGCAGACGTGCCCCAGCCCCTGAGCCCCTGTTGGGCTGCCCTGGCTCAGGCCAGCAGGTCTGTGCCCTTTCACTGCTGGGGAGCGCAGGGCTGGATGCAGAGCTCCAGCTGGGATCCCCAGGGCAGAGCAGAGGGGCAGGATCCCCTCCCTGCCCTGCTGCCCGCGGGGCTCTGCCTGCAGCCCAGGGCACCTTTGGCTTTCTGGGCTGCCACTGCTCACTGCCAGCTCCTGCTGAGCTTCCAGCACCCCCATCCCTTCTCCTCAGGGCTCTTCTCCATCCATTCTCAGCTCAGCCTGTGTCTGTGCTGGGGATTGCCCCAGTCCAGGTGCAGGGCCTTGCTCTTGGCCCTGCTGAGCTCCATGAGGTTCTCCTGAGCCTCTCCAGGCTGGCAGTGTCCCCCTGGATGGCATCCCTGCCCTCCAGAGGCTGCACACAGAGTGTGGTGGTGGCAGCTTGGTGTCCTCCATCCCACTTTGCACAGGCTCCACAGCAAAAGCAACTTAACAGAGCAATCTTTATTGTCAAGGTAAGCTATAAATAAGCCATCTCTTCTCATTAAAACTTGTGAGAATCAGTTCTACTTCCCAACCTAAATAAAATAATCAGGAATAAAGGTAAAAAATTATTTTATAGGCAGTTTAGGCAGTTGTAGAATTTTAATCCCAAACCTGAAGTAATTTTACTATTAAATAAATTTTCCATTTACCAATGCAAGCAGTTTTATTTTATGATCAGTCACAGAAGTTACCATATAATTTCTTATATTATATACATTCCCAGTACTTATGCCCTTAGAGTAAAAGTTGCCTTTTTTTGAAGATTACAGAGTGAACAGAAATGCCCTCCAATGTTAAAATACTTTCTAAAACCCAGTATGTATATAGTTCTTTAGGTTTTACCAGAGGTGTATAATTTTTCAGCATTACATCTTAATGCCAGTTTCCTGAAGGAGCTTTGACTACAAAAGGCATGAATATATTTTCAAAGGATGATGGATAAATTGGTGGGTAGTAATATAATATATCTTAGGCAGCTGATCAGGGCTTTTTATCCTCTGCCTGTCTTTTAGTTATACACAATTTCAAGATAATTATGGTCTATAAGAATGTCTTTTCCCCTTCCTACTACCAGCAATATTTGTCTTGGTTATAGGTTCAAGAAACTTCCAATCACATGACAAAATTGGAATAGGGCAATTATGGCATCTCAGCAGAGAGCTGAACATGCAAATAGACTGACCAGACCATATGGACATTTAATATGGACACACTATGGACAGTTAATGAACTGCCTTTATGAAACATCCCAGCTAATTAGATACTGGCTGTGGAATGTATTGAATCCATACATTAATTTTACAAAGTAAAACCCAAGCATAAGGTGTAATTCAGGTTGATATCTGCCATGTCTGTATTACCTATCCAGTAAAGAATACAGTCTCATCAGATACTGAAAATCAATTAATTACTAATCTCATTAAATGAAGCGCCATGTTATTCAATGGTCAGATAGACTATATTAAAATCCCAACTTTGTGGAGTCATCCAAATCCCAAGCAGCTCATTTTTACGACAGGAGAGATCTTCTTGAAGCACCTGAAGGTAAAGGTTACTTCACTGACACAGCACAAATCAGATAAATTAACTCTGCTGTGCCTTGTCTGCTAAACAAAGGAAGTGTTGAACAGCCAAGGTGAGAGTAAACAGCACAGACAAGAATATTGTTGGATACCCAAGGGCACAAAGGGAGGCAGAAATCAAAACAAGATTATGTTTATACAGCAACAATGTCCTTCCATTTATAGTCTCCTATAGCAGCACCACCATGGAGTTACAACAGAGGAATGCAGCATTCCTGCCTAGTGTCTACCCCTGGAAATTAAGAAGGAAAATTATTCCATATCAGACAACAGAGCTGAGTAAGGCACAGCAAACTAACTGAGCCCAAACTCAAAGTGGTACAAGGTGTACGGCAGACGTATGTAACAATGTCTGCTGGTTATCACATAAAGGCGTAAAGGAGCCAGGAAAAACACGACAGGCTCTGAAAAACTGATTCAAAAGTGCATGAAAGAGAAATAGAATGTACATTAGCCACTCCATTTTAAGAAAATTTAATGTAATGCAATAAAAATACTAATTTGGATAATTAAATCTCAATGAGAAAAACAACCGCAACAATCATGTTGTATCATTAGGAGTTGATTATCATTATTTAAAACCATTTAATTAAAAAATATAGCACATTCCTGTGTAATTTGTACTTGAAAATCAAATTTTAACCTGTTTGTTTAACCTTTATTCTAAACCACAAGTGAGAAAAAATTTTACCCTTAAAAGAACCTTTTTTAGGTTTAGGAGCATTAAAAAACTGATTTTTCACAACCACAACAGTTTTATTTCATTAAGAATATACTTTTTCCTGAATACTGAAGATAATGTTCAAGAGGGAAGGCATAGAATTTACCATCCCTAGGTAGGAAAACAGAAGAGTAATCATTTTGTCCAGAAATAGTCTCTGAAGACACTTAAGGAAATAGCCAGACTTCACTTGATGCAGAAGTAATCAGGAAATTATATGTTACTTCTGATATTAGGAAAACGCAGCCTCAGAAAGACATAAAATATTTAATGAAATTTTGTAAGATTATCCTCACACTCCAGCACTTTCTGCACTGTTGATCAGCCTTTTTCCCTTATCCAATTTTCTCATGACAGAAACTATCAGTGTTTGATTGGGAGTCCACTGAAGTCTGGAGGGATCCTTTCTGTATGACCTGATCCAAAGCTGACCAAGTTCCCTAGCACAAAAAAGAGTCAGAATGAAATGTAAGTGTAAAGGAAATTGTAAAGATGTTCAACGATGTTTTTATTTTCTACAGGAAACTACAATAAATATCCACACAAACTGTACACTGTTTCTACCACAAAATACTGCAAGAAGCTTAACTACTCTTCCTCCTGGGCAGGAGTAAACTGTAAGCAGTTGGGTTTTCTGAAACCACTCCACGAAGCCAGTGGAATAAAGAAATAAAATAAAGAATAAACAGGTTCCAAGCCTGATTTGGCCTTGGGAGGATCTAACTCCACTGTCCATAGATGGGATGTAGAGACCAGAATTTAATTCCCAAATCTGGCTAGTGTAAATACTCCTGTACTTCCCAACACATTCTTACGAATCACCAAGATTAATTCATTTGTTGCTATACAATATATACACTTTAAAATGCATTTAATTCATCAAGACATTACAGCTTTACTTATCAAAAGCAATGAGTCTTATTTACCTTCAAAATGTTGTCAGGATGCTCTTTGGCAGAAGCAACAAACAGGTCATGTCCACAGACAATTCCCTCTGCGAGAAAATACTTGAACAACAAATTGGAGTAAAGGCCATATTTATCCTCCTCTGTGAAAACAAAAATGGTTGGATTTTGTTTTGTTAGATAAATTGCCCACCTATAGGTTCACAACACTGTAAAAGGTCTCTTTGGGTCTATCTCCTGGAGTATAGAATTTACAACAGAGATCAAAGGTAAAACAGGACTCCAAAACTTTTAAAATAATGCTTGATAATACTGCATTTCAAAATTTTCAAGCCAGAGGAAGAGTCCTCAATCAGGCATTTGATTCTAAGATATGGATGGGATACAGCCTCCTTACAAGACTTCCCATCAGTATCAACTAAGATGGCTGAATTTATGGATTAATGGAATTTCCTTAATTGAGAACTATGTTAATATTTATATTCTTAGTGCTTAAATACTTGCTTCAAATATTTGTTACCTGATGCTTTTCAAAATTCAGCCATATTTGGCATGCTAAACCTATACAGGGGTAACATTCAGAATAGAGACATTCTTATATCTGCATTTATTCCAAAGCTACAAAAACCAATTGGATATACTGAAGAAACCAAACAATTAGCAACGCTTTTTCTGAAACCTAACCAGAGCAAAATCAGAAGAAATTCAAAATACTCATGAATTTGCAGTTTAAGCAGTGAGACAATATTTGTTAGCAGACATTGTGAGTACTGGCCCACTGAAATGAAAATACAAACTCTGACATCAGAAAGGGCAGCATTTCCTTCAGCTTCCCTGGTGCAAGTTAAGTGGCAGGAATTACCAGAAATACGATGTCTTAATGAACTCATACAATTAAAACTCAGCATAACTTCAAGGTATGAGAAGTGGATGTGTGCAAAACAACTGAAATCTGAACCATCTCTGATGTTCTTTATTTGTAGGAAGTACCAACAATAGCACTGTTAATGCTTTTTATATTTTTTGAGAGAAAAGTAAATATGCTACATTAGGTTTCACTTTTGCAACTCAATCTGGCAGCTGGAAGACAACACACAGGGATGTTGAGGCAGAAAAATACAGAGATATTTCTTTATACAGAGCAAACAAAACTCAGTCTATTCATTGTGTGACTTGGAAAATATTCCCTAACTACACATGTGAAATAGTAAAATTAAAAATAAAAAACCAGTAACAAAGAGAGAAAATGAAAATGTTGTCATCCATATCCAACTTGCAAAAAACAGTAAGGAGGAAAATAAAAATACTCTATCGTTGACATGTACAACAATCAAAATGAATCAATGGAATGACGGAGAAAAGGAAAGTGCATATCCATAAAGAAAAAAGAAAACTAATAGCAATGGGCAAACTTAGGAAACAAATCACAGGAAAGTACTGTTGCACTGCTGCACTCCTAACATCTTGCATGTGTACTGATACTCTCAGTGTTTAGATTAACAAGAAATTCAAACCACAAGTGTTCAAAACTACTGGAAAAAACCCAGTTCTCCAAGAGATATTCCCCAACCTCCATGGGATATTAAGCAAAAAAGAATTTTTTTCGTGCTTTTTTGAATTTCACTTTTAAATTCAGTACTTGGGGTAGTAGAGTCACTAGAATTTACTCTAAAGCAGTAGCTCAAAACAGAGAAAAATGTTTCATAATCCAGTCACTAAGACAGGAAATTACATAACACTGCATATCCAAATAAGCCAAAGGGAATACAATAATTACAACACTTACCAATAGTACTAGCCACTCTGCAGTTTGCTGTAGAGTCTCAGGGTTTTAAGAACTTAGATTGCATTAACAGAACTTACCTTTGATAATGTTGACCTGCTTAGGAGGCCATATTAGCCTTCAATGTACTTGCAATAACACACTGCTTTTTTTTTTTTTTTTTTAATAAAGGTCTTCTAACAAATATGGACAGTTATGAATCACAAAAAGCACAGGACTGACAAAATCTTACTGGTGACACTACTGGGTTCCTTGTCAAAATTTCATCAGGATGGATTTCCAAACTGCAATTTACTTGAGAATTTGGAGGTTTTACTTAAATATTAGATACAGTTTATTCTTGCATCCTTATAAAGTCATAATAGTGTTACTGAAGAACTGTTTTCCTGTTAACTCAGTGATGAGACTGAGGATGTAGAGCCAGGTATGAGTCAAGGCTCAATCAGCTAGAACTGGAACACTCCCATTGCAGAAACAAAAGGCAGAATGGACACTACCTAAGTTTTGAAGAAGTATTATTGTCATATTCTGTAAATAGTCTTTGTAGCCTGCTTAAATCTTAAACTGTTTCAAGAGGGAAATAAAACCCTTGTGCTGAATAAGTGTCCCTTGTAACTGGAGTCCAGACCACTGACAGCTCTTGCCTCCTCAAACCTTGGCTCTCTCTAGTTGTTCTTACTGCTTTATCATCAGCAATATATTATTCACACTATATTGATTTCCATGTGCTAATCTCCAATTATGAAGCTCTCAATTTAAGAAGCAAAGACCTCTCGAAAGTGGCAGCATGAGCTCTAAATTTTCTGTTTTGAATTGTCTGAGGTACCTGAAAGAAGCCACCAAGGCCCCCCTGTAATCACATCACTGTGGCAGATGTCACTGGAGGGAGACAATTTTGTTAGATCTCTCTCCCTTTTGAACAAAAGGGAAAAAGAACACTCGTCAGGCACTCTGGAAGGATCCTCAGCTGCAACATTTACTTCATCATTGCTGGATGAAAAATGTTGGGTTCTCAATTTTAACTACAGGTTAAAGTTCACCTTCTTCACCATCTGAGGCACAGAAACACTGAGTTGATATGTACTTAACTGACGTTTAATGGAATATAAGAAAATATCTCGTTTAGTCCAAGTGCTCTACGGCTTCAGTCTGTGTGTACAACTATACAGACAGTCTTTCTGGATCACCATTTTTAATATCAATTATTCCTTAGAAAGTAAAGAATGGCACAAGAAACTCAATTCCTTGTGCCAAATATCACAGAGAAACTCCATAAACCATGGATACGTACAAGAAATCACACAATATGTTGGTGATTATTTAACTAAGCTAAGAAGAAATTCAGCTGTAATAGCTAAGAATTTTTCTCAAATTTTACTTGAAATGCTGAAATGTTGAAAACATATTGTAGAAATAAAGCAACAAAGAGCAGGGATATAAAGCTTTTAACTGACTTATTGACAATCAATTCATTTTGTTGACTCGCTGATTAATTTGTAATATATCAGGGCTAGAGAGGCTCTTACACTGCCATACCCTTCCAAAACATATCATGCAAAACAACAAGGAATGTTCAAGTTAGCAAATTAAAAACACATGCAGTGTTAAGGACACATCATTTTAACATAAGCCTTTCCTTTCTTCTTAAATTGATTTTCATAAGAGTAAACTTGCAGTAAAAAAATTAAATTAAGAATTGGAAAGTGATCTAAATATAAACCACCTCACAGTCTCCTACAGTACTCTGAGGATTAGATGTCTCAGAAAGCCTTTACAGTGTACCTGGAATTGTTAAAGTCAATGCTTCTGTAAGAATCCCTCAGTTCTTCAATTTGTCAGATAGAGGATGCTTTTTATTGATTCATTTCTAGGTCACTAAACTTTTGTGTTATTCAAAAGATCTAAAGTGCATCCATATGGGGCTTTTCTGATAGCATCCATTGTACCCTGGCTTCAATAGTTACGTTACTATTCTAAACCAAAGGAGTACAGCTTCCTTCTTGTAAATAAACAAACAAATCACTTAGCACAGGTACTTCAGCAGCTCACTGATCACTTTCATAGAATCCCAGAATGAAATGCTTTCCTGAGAATGCTTGGACTTAGCATGTGAATGGCTAGGATAAATTTTCAACTGTTACCTTTATCTTTTCAAACTCCTCCACACCCAAAAGAACTACCTTCACTCGGGACACGTAGAGAACTACCTTCACTCGGGACACGTAGAAACTAACACTTCAGATAATTTTAGTCAATACCTAGGACAAGCCTGGCCCAAATCTTTAGTCTCAGCCTCTGGCCCTTCATTGTGAGCTTCACTTCCAGCTACCAAGGCACATAAACAAACCAGACTCTTGCAGCTGCAGCCTCTTTTCTGGGTGCAGTCCCAAGTCCCACGGCACTGTGCAGCTTCTGATTCTTTTGGAACAAAGAGTGCTCTCCGGCTAAGCAGCAGGTGAGTAACTAGTGAAGTGTGAAACTGTACAAGGAAAAGAGATGATTTACCTACAAGTTATGCGTATTGTCTCCAGGACAAAAGCTCCTCTGATCCTACAGATAAGGACATAAATAAAACAGTCTGTTGTGATGGCTATCCATGGGTCTCTTTCCACATGAGCGTGCTTTCCTGGCTGAAACAGTCACCGGAGAAGGAGCAGGACTGTCACTATGATCACAGGGAATTCCAGCATATAACCTTGTAGCTGAACACTAAGGATAAAGACCAATTCCTAGGGTCTTCCTAGGGTCAATTTAGGGGTATTTTCAGCACTGCACTGTATAGGCTACTGGGGAGTCTTGGCTTGTGTTTTTTTAGGGTTGGGACTAAATTAAATTAATTTCTTGTTGGGACTCAGATGTTTCTTAGTTCTCATTTATATTACAGTCTCACAAACTGTGAGTTCTACAGTACTTCACTCTAACAAAATAAAAATGGAGCTGTACCGCTCTCTCTCTCTCACCGAGGTCTTTTAAGGATAAACTGTCCAATTACGAAATGACACTTAAATTATTTTTACTTTTAACCAATAACGAACTACACATGTGCAATGTGGACTTTTTAATCTAATTACACAAAACCACTCAAACCCATGGAGAAGGTGAAGGACCAGACCCCACCCTAAAATTTCTATCTTGTTTTATATGTATGACTATATTCTAAAACGTTAAGTTTTCCACTGTGCAATATTACACAATTCTATTTAAACTACACACTTACAATATCACTTTTATCACTCAGTTTTGGAAGTCTTTTCTACAGTCATAGGTCAATGCAGTGTTCTCTTGGGGGTCAGTGCCTGCCAGCACAGAAAGTCTGAAATTCTCAGCAACCAGGGTTCCAACAGGCTACCAAATACGTAAGAGACATTGCTCCACACCTGTCTGTAGCTACAAATCAAAGAAATTCATGGCTTGTAGAATTAGGTATAGAATCTTTAGGCTTTTATCTAGGGCACAGAAAACAAAAGAGAGCAGATATGCGTGAGGCACTGTAAAAATAGAATTTATTTAAAAATTAAGGAAACAAATGTAATTGCAGAATTATTGATACGTAATCATGTGACTTTAAGGAAAAACTCCCTCTGCACAGAGGCATTCATGTTCCAGGAGAGGGATGCAGAATAAGGACTAGACCAGGAAGACAAATAAAAAGTCAGGAACTTTTTTATTTAAAAATTTTTAATAAAAAATAAGGAACAAAATCCACCATAAGGTAACAAATATCATACCTGTAAATACTCTATTTATAATACCTGACTTTCAAACGTGACTATATTAAGCAGCATGAAGGTCTTTGAAAAACTCCAGTGGTCATTTGTAGTATAATTGCTCAAAATGACGAGAGCTGTAAGAGGAAAGAATAAGCCTGCAACAATGTAATGTACAGATGGCTTATTTTTTTTTCTCTCTACAAAGTCTAGACAGGTTGCCCTAAAGCTGCCAAAAGCCTGTCATAGCCTATCAGTATTGATAATTTTTTTACCAGATAGATGGCTCTACATTGTGGTCCTGTGACCTAAGGTGTGTCATTCTCCAGCTATGAAACATCTCTCTAAATTGCTGCAGGTTATAAAATGAGATTATTTTAATAATCTCAAATTCCATTTAAAGATACTTTTCTAATGTCCACGTTTACTAAGCTTGAGGGGATATACTTTGTGTCACTTGCATTTAATTAGCACATGCCACACCAGAGTTGTCAAACACATAAGTTACAATATTTGGCATTTAGCCATACTTCAGGAAGGTGAATTCTGCTAACTGGTATTTTGTAGAATTATATTTAGCAAATCACTGTTTTGAACCTCTCTTGGGATTATCTTTTTCAGCTTTAAAAATATGATAAATTCAGTTATATTGACAAGTGAAGAGAGCTCTTACCAGTCAGGTTAAATTGCATCCCTAACAAAAATAAAAGTAGCTAATTAAAGTAGCTGAAACTGCTTCAAGGCTTAGAATGTGCAAGTACAGACCTGCTTTTCACCAGAGAACTTTAACTTTTAATAACTGACCTCAGCTACCAACAAAACCCCTCCTACTGATAATCTTTTAAACATTTAGCTGTCAGTGACCTTGTCAAAACTGGGGCTTTTAAAGGTAAGCAAGAATGGGTTCTTACAGGGTGCCCAGGACACCTCCAGCGAGGGTGCTCACTGTGCAGAACGTGTTACAGAAACAAAGCTTACCTTTAGAAACAAAGTAACAATTTTAAATTGTTAAAAAAACCCACAAAACTTTATCATTCTATATTATCATATTGTATATTAATATAGTATTAATTCTATAGTATGATGCAATATTAATTATATATACTATTACATATTAATATATATTATACATAATTATTATTATAATACAAATAATTCAAAACCAAAATATCTTCCTGGGCTGGCAAAACACACTTGCAACAGCTTGAAGTACACTGGAGGGGAGAGAGGAAGGAGTGTGCTTGTTTTACTTGTTTGCTTTGAGAAGGGGGACTCTCCTGGGAAGCTGATTTTCTGCAGCAGGTTCAGATAAAACCAAAATGTGGTCTCACATCCACACTGAACAAGCTGCTTTGATGGGGTTCCACATCAGAATGCTTCTTAGAGACACACTACTGCAAGATTTCTTTTAAACTAAAGTACTAGTTAAAATCCTAATTCTTGTTAGATGAACAAACCTCAGGAAGTCTCAAGCTGCTCTGGTAGGTAGGATCTTGCATGAGAATAGTGCTTCAACTCTCTAATTTTCATATAATTAAAACTGTCAAAAGAATATACTATAGAATTAAGCTCAACTGAAAATCACAATGCTCTTTATTATGAATTGAGTTCAAAAAACTTGCACACTTCTATTTCAAACAATATTTTACAGTCTTATCAAGTAACCTGTGCCATTACTACATCTTCAGAACACACCAGTTCAAATAAATATTTTAATACCCTGAATCTACTATTATTTGGTTAAATTAACCAAGATAATGAGTCAAATAATGAAGACGAGCATTTAATTTGCAAAGGGAGCTAAGCTAAAAGTAATTCAATTTATTCTCACCTTAGAGAACGTTGAAGGAAGGGGAAGAATTTAACCTTTTTGTAACACTCGGAGAACAACACAGAAAGATCTTCCTAGGAGGTTTATCACTGACAGCTTCAATCCTGATAATATTAAGCTTGTCTAGACTAATCTCATGACAGAATTTCTTGGTGTGCTGACAGGATAGTCCAACAATGCCATTCCAATGTTACCTGCACCAACTTTAAAAATCAATCTCCAAATTTTTAGACTAATGAGTCATGAATAAATATAGTTCCTGCTTTAAGGCTTTTTGTATATAATTATATGTTTCTAAATAACATATGGTAAGTCTCATTTGGGAAAAAATTCATTTCCAGATGTAAAGAGACATTCTCAGGCTAAGTTTCAGATCAGATCACAAATACACAACTAACACACAAGATAAGCAAATTCAAACCTACCACTGTGTATGGCCAGATATGCACTCAGAAGGAACAAAGTTCAGGCAAAAATCCTCTCAGGAAAAATCTTCCATTGAGCCATTAGCATCCACATGACTGTTTTTCACATCCACAACACCTTGTAGTGAAATATTGCACCACTTCTTCCATATAATGACAATCTTCCTGCTAGTGGATTCATTGGATGCCACCCAGCCTGTCTACCAGAAGGGGCAGTGAATATTGTAATGGGAAGACAAAATTAATCCAGCCTCACAATCTCTGATTTATGTAAAATAGAATAGGTTCTAACTTTCTTTTCCTTCTTCCTTTACCACAGCAAGACTGCAGCTCTTCAAAACTGAAAATCTCTTTCAAACTGAAAATTGTTGGCATTAGGTAACATCAGTTATTTTTTCTGGCAAACAACTTTTCAAATTACTTAATCTGCACCACACCATACACTAATTTATACACTTTATGTAAAAATCACCATTTTCTAAGACTCAGTGGCACATCAATAACTGTCTCTAATGGATAAAGTGCAGAAATAAAGACTAGCCTTGAAATAACAACAAGCCATAGTGAAAGCAATTATCTTCCTCAATGGCAAACAGAAAATTTTATTCAGTCTCTAGTGCAGGTTACATGAACCCTATACCAACAGAAAGGAACATGCTGTAAATTCTAATAGTGGCTAAAAGAGATTTCAAATAAGTTTTCCCCAAATCCCACTGTTTGGCTCTTTAGTGTTAAGACTAATTTTTGAATTGTAAAATTCAAAATACATAACCAAAACTCTAGATACAAATCCAGTTTCCCAAGCAATGGTTGTCTTCCACAGGGAAAATAAACACAGATTTAATCAGTAATTTTCATTCATTTTCTAAAAGGGATGACAACATTGTGGTCTGGATATTTTATCTATCTCAATGCTGAAAAGCCACACTCTGAAGAGCTTCTATCACTAGAGACAAGCAGGCTCTTAAAACACTCTACAGGCACAGCTCCTTTGAAAGCACCCAAATCACCTAGGCATGTGCCAGTCTGCTTTGTCCCTAGGCAAGGCTGAAATCTAGTCACTGCTCTCAATTATGAGATTCAAGTGCTCCTTCAGGGTGGAGATTAATACAAGGATTCTTCATTTTTCTGCTGGTTTTGTGTCAGCTCAGTCAAACAGGAAGGAAAGCTGGACAGCCCAGCTGCAATGGAGATGGTCCCAGAGAGCTGCACTGTGGTCTGCAAAGGGAATTCTGGTGTAATTTATTTAATCATCTCAGTGTCCCTCATCCACCTCCTGACAGAAAGCAGGTTCCATCACCTTGCTCTCAGCTGATTCTGGCAACAAAAAGATTCAGAGGTTCTGCACTGCACATCTTCCTCAGACAGCCAAATTAAAAAAAAAAAAAAACATTTGTGATGATTTACAGTCTGAATCTAACAGCAGTTTACAAAATCTTAACTAATGTGTGCACTCTGCTACTAAGTCCTGAAATGTGCTAAATGTCCTGTTTTCAAACAGGTTTCTGGGGTATTCTTTGTGGGTGCTCAAGCCTGTCTAAAATTAAGATTTTGATTCACCTCCAGTAATTATTGAGATAGACAATAGTCCATTCTGAAGGCTACACAAAGTGAAGGAACCTGAGAGTAATAGTTTCCTAGAGTCTGACTTCAAAAAAAAGTGAAAAGAGAGGCTGTTTAATGAATAAAATAAAGAGTGAAATGCTTCAGAATATGGCTTTAAGAATCTATATATTCTATACTAACCAATAAGAAGAAGGGTTCCAACAGCTACGCCTCCACCTGGAAACAAAACAAAATGAAGAATAAAGTAAGACTACACTTTAATACCATGTTAGAGAACAATTAACTTTTCTTAGTTTATAAGTCAAAGAAAGGTGATAACGGGGAATTTAAAAATATAAAAGTGAACAACATTTTAATTACCTTTGCAATACTTACTACAATTCTCTATTATGAAATAATTATACATTACATGTAATTATATACTGCACATTACAATTACTTTCACAATATACTGTACTATCATCATTGTGTTAAAAAGATCCTGCAGAGCTCTATGCAACCATGCTCAAGCACTACAGTGGGGAGGTATGGTCTGAGCCAGCAGATTTTTACTGGGATGACTCATGTGAGTAAACATTCTCCCAATCAAACTAATATTAGCTATCAAGTGATATTCCTTTGTATCAAGAAGGATATAAACCAAGTGACCAACTAAGATTTTAGTAGATTTTAGCAAGTTTCCACTCAAGTCTCCGAGGCAAAATCCTGGCTCCACCTTTTTCTTACTTGTTTTTTATCTTATTGCTGGAAACTGACATGGCAGCAACACTTTCACCCATTGAAACCTGGACTGAGGGACCATAAATATCACAACACACACTACGAAAAAACATACACTACTGAAGAGATTAAAGTCCTTTATAGCAGGTCTTGGACATAACTCCATGAATTCCTTTACAAGGCCAGTGAAAGAAGAACTCATATTTATTTTTGGGAAAGAGTACACTGGTTTATAATCTGAATTCCAAGAATTACAATAGTGGAATAACCTGAAATCAGACTATTTTGTTTAACAGTTATGGAAGACTGTGACAGGAAAGCTAAAAATCTCTGGAAGTGTACAGATGGCCACATGTAATGAGCATACTGAAATGTTTTGTATGGAAACTGCAGGAGTTATTGGTTATTGTTGTCTGCAATACACCTTTTAAATCAGGACACCTTTTAAAGCTGGACACCTCAGCTGCAATGGAGATGGTCCCAGAGAGCTGCACTGTGGTCTGTAAAAGGAAATTCTGGTGTAACCTTGCTTTAAAAGGTGTCCTGATCTAAAAGCAGCTTAGGAGCAAACTAATTGATTAATCCCATCAGCACAGTATGCAAAGCTCCAGAAGTCAATTCTGGACTGCACAGATGGACTCCAGTGAATTGGATCTTTCATTTTGTACATTTGTAAGACCTCAATAAACTCCACTAGAAGTTGATGCCAATATGAGTTGGATCAACTTCTCAATCTTCAGCTTTGCTAGTGGGACTACAAATGCCTGCCCTGTCTGTAATGTTGATATACCCAAAAGGAAGAAAAAAAGAAAATTGCACTCCCATAGGCCAAAAAATGCTAATACTGTTGCATAACAGCACCTGAAATCAGAACAGGATCACTTTGCCAGCATGCACAACAATTTGAGCAGTACTGGGCAGTGAAAGTGCTTAATCAGCTGCTAATTTCATAGTTACAGAGAAGCAGATGTCTCAAGCAAAACTCCTGAGTCAAGATGTACAAATGCTTCAATATCTACAGCAAGCTGGTCAGGTAATTAAGCATTTTCTAGATATTAAAAAAACACCCAAAAACAAACAAGAAACCAATTTTAACTGCTGTTTATCAGAAAGAGAATCACTCATGAAATCCCCATGTCCTAAGCCAATGATTTTTGTTCCATTTATTTGTTCAGGAGATAAATGCAAATGAACCCAAAAGATGTACCACAGGGGAAGGCAAAAAAAAGACCAAAATCTGAAATCATACTGATGTTTGGCATGAAGTATGCTTCCAATATGCACTGCATTTAATTGTTCAGGCAGCCAGAACACTTGGGTTCCTAACAACAGTTGTTTAAAATGAGCACATGCTCTATACAGCCCATAGGAAAGAAAAGCTCCAAATGTTGAGATTTTACCAAATCCTAGGTTGACATAGAAAATATGATTAAAGCAGCCATAAGTAATGTATTAGCTCATGGCAATAAGAACTTTAAAACCTTGGCTAGAAAAAAGTTCACTTGTAGCCACAATAGAAGTGGTGTCTCTTCTGCTTTTACAGTGAATTTGTTTGTCAAACAGTGCAGCCAAAATTCTCTCAAGCTGCATTTTCAGATCATCAATGGTACTCTTCTACCAGCCAGAGCTGTAACATATGTGCACATACCCTGGATGCTAAAGGCAAACTTAGGTCTGTACTTTATCACTGAGTGGTTTGAACAAGTGTCTTCTATTAGAGAAAATGCAAAACTATTGCAGTTACCATGGTTACATCTTCATATTACAATGAGCAACAACACCAGTAAATTAAACAAAAGGCAACAGGAAAAAATAGCAGGAAAGCTAATGGAATCAAAAGGAAGAGGCAAAATCTATAAGTTTCCCAAGAAAGCTGCTGTGAACTTGTCATTCTTCCTAATCTCACTATTTTCATTTTTCTTTGCCAGTATCTAAGGCAGTAGAGTTTATAAAGATATAAGCAAAACTTGTAACTTTCCACATTGCTACTTACAAGAGAGATTTAAGACCTTATGGAGAGAAACACAACAAACTTTGCAAGCTGAGAAGTGCCCAGATTGTTTCCAAAGCACACCCCTGACCTTTTTTTCAGCAACCTGAATCAACATATTCAATACCAGGCATGTGATGGTTACATTACACAATAGTTGCAGCTTATTGCAGAGAACTGCCCTGGCACACATCAGGCATATATGGCCCATAAACCTTGAAAGTAAACTTATATAAATAAATATACAATATTTATAACTATAAAATGTATGAATTTATAAAATAAATATAAACATTTATAAAATCAATAAATAAAGCCTGGAAGTGCAGAATGCCCTGATGCTAACGCTGTATTTGAAATCTAGCATTTATCTACCACTTCTCTTCCAAAGGAAATTCACTCCTTTAGAGTGAGCCACATCAATGTAACAATCAGCTGGCAGGGTGAAAGAAACTCCTCCTTGGATTCTTTGCCTTTTCCTCTCTTCAGAAAGTCCTCATTAGACCTGTGTGTGATAACACCATGCTTTCCCTCACTCACAGGCTGCACTTTCATACCTGGCAAATAACTGTGTATCTGGATTACAGATTTTGAACACAGCAAAGTTAAACTCAAACCCAAGCCAGAGATCTACAAGACTGCCTAGTGACTGTTACAAAGTATGTCTATGAAAATACCAGACTAAAAGAGTTCATGCTAACTTCCACTGGGAATTTATACCAAAAAAAAGACTGCCCTCAGTCCCTGGCGACAATAAAAATTAAATATTTTTACAATCAATTATTGGATTGCAAATTGCCCACTGCTAGTGGACAACACAAAAGAAGAAAAACACCAGTATTCCTTCAGAAAAACATAAACAGCATTTTGCAACACATTCATGAAGCATTTCCACACGCAGAAAAAGGGCACAAAGCAGACCAAGCCAACACCTGTAGAGTCACCAGCACAGTGGGCTGGCCTCTGCTGTAGGGCAGCCTGCACAAGGCATCAGCACCATCAGAGGCTCAGTCAGATGCTCGAAGGATGCTCCCCTTTACTCAGATCACATCTGCAATACGAGGCCCAGATGACTTTGAGCTCCTCCATTTAAGAAAAATTAAACTGAAGTGAATCCAGGGAAGAGAATGAAAATGGGGCAACCGATTCAAGAGAAGAGGCTGAAGGAAGTGGGCTTGCTCAGCTTGGAGAAGAGAGGAAAAGCTGAAGGCCCTGGAGTGGTACCCAAGAGAAGCTACTGACACTCTGCTGGAGCCCTGGATGCTGAGAATTTCAGACTTTCTGTGCTGGCAGGCACTGACCCCCAAGAGAACACTGCATTGACCTGAGGCCGTGGAGAAGGCTTCCAAAATGGAATGACAGAGCTGGGATTGTGGGTGTGGAGTTTGAACAGAAGTGTGTGATATCACAGGGTGGAAAACTCAGAGTTTAAGAGTTTAGAATATAGTAATATATATAAAGCAAGATGCAGGTTTTAGGGTGGAGGCTGGTCCTTCACCTTCTTCTCCACGGGTTTGGGTGGTTTTGTGTATTTGGATAAAAAAAGTCCACATTGTGGGGCACACATGGTTGGTTATTGGCTTAAAAGTAAAAATAATTTAGGTGTCATTTCTCAATTGGACAGTTTATCCTTAAAAGACCTTGTAGAGAGGGAGAGATACAGCTCCATTTTTAGTTTGTTAGAGTGAAGTGCTGTAAAACTCACTTTGTGAGACTGTAGAATAAGAACTAATAAACATCTGAGTCCCAACAAGGAATACCTTCTCACACATTTAATCCTGACCCTAACAAAAAAGAAACAAAGACTCCCCAACAACAGCTGAGCTCTTCACTGAGGTGCACTGAGAGGGCAACAAGCAACAAATGGGAGCTGAAACAGGGGATATAAGGTAAAAGAAAATTCCCTACAAAATAAAACTGAGCATTGGACTGGGTTACCCAGAGGTGCTGCAAAATCTCTGTCACTGCAGATTTTCCACTGGACAAAGAAAGCCCTGAGCAATTAGCTCTGAATTCAGGCTGCTTTAAGGCTGCAGAGGGGAAATTCCTGAGGTCCCTCCTCAGCCTCCAAAATCAGTGATTCTGTACAGTTCACCCAGCTGGAGGTGTGTTCCAACAATGTCTGGCATCAGTGGGACTGGAGTCTAGTCAGCATGCTTAGCATGAGTCTCTCCTGGTGTCCACTCAGCCTTCAAAAAATCAGGGATTTCAGGGCTAGGAGGTTACCCCAGGTTTAACACAGGAACGTAGAGCCTAGGTTTCCAGAGGCCACAACCCAAAAAGACATTTACGAGTACTTTCAAAAGTTGTTGTACCTAGGGGCAAGGAATTTCCTTGATGGTGAAGTATAAATATCAGTAAGCTCAGGAAATTGTAAAATATTTAAAAGACAAGGAAAATGTAAAAGGGATCCTGGGTTTATTGGAAGTGTCCTCAGTTTCCATAACAAACCAGTAATTGTGTTAGCAGGTGCCTAGAATTTCAGGAGACTGCCACCACGGGAGCTGTCTACATCTTCTGAGCCATGCTGTGCAAAATGCACTGTTTCTAAAAGGGAATAAGAACGGGAATATTCAACGCAAATCTGCTTTTCATGCAATTAAAAGGCTTCACAAATTACACTCACTTAATGAAATATTTCTCTCTCAAGCAGGAAGAGCTTCCTCCACAATGATCCTAATCCCTCATGAAAGTGCAGACACACACACACAAAATCACATACAAGCTGCAAAAAGTCCTTTATACAAGGGATACAACTTTTACATTACCATTAATCATACAGAGCATCCCTAGAGAGAAAAGTGGCATATTCTGTGTACTCCAAGGATGACTGAACCAAGCTAAAATCAGGCAGTTCTCACCTAGAAGTCCCTTGTATGTACATTAAAGATGCACTGCAACCCTGTGCAGGGTTAGAGGATCACCAGATAAACCACGCTGTTTACACCAGCGAATGAATGGGCCCCCAAGCCAAGCTCACGACACGGATGATACAGCAGCAATCTCAACAGCGAGTCCACGGGACCATCTCACAGCCCGACACTGACAGCAAAGCCAGCGTCGCACCAGAGCCATTTATCTAAGGGGGCACCTGAACCACGCAGCCGTGGCGAGCAAGGCGGAAAGGACAAACTGAGCACCCCAAGACATCCCAACCCTGCCGCGGCGGAGAGCCCGCACTGCCCCGCGCTAGTGCGGCGCACACGCCTGGCCAGGGAAAGAAAGCCTGGCAGCGCACGTTTCCAAGGGGAAACCCTGGTAGCCGACACGGCTTTCCCAGCCGAAACCCTGGTAGCACACCCGGCTTTCCAAGGGGAAACCCTGGTAGCCGACACGGCTTTCCCAGCCGAAACCCTGGTAGCACACCCGGCTTTCCAAGGGGAAACCCTGGTAGCCGACACGGCTTTCCCAGCCGAAACCCTGGTAGCACACCCGGCTTTCCAAGGGGAAACCCTGGTAGCCGACACGGCTTTCCCAGCCGAAACCCTGGTAGCACACCCGGCTTTCCAAGGGGAAACCCCGCAGCGCACACAGCTTTCCAAGGGGAAACCCTGGTAGCCCCAAGGGGAAAGCCAGCAGCACACACGGCTTTCCCAGCCGAACCCTGACAGCACACACGGCTTTTCAAGGCGAAACCCTGGTAGCAGAGACAGCTTCCCAAGGGGAAACCCAGCAGCACACATGACTTTCCAAGGGGAAACCCTGGCAGCACACACGGCTTTCCAAGGGGAAACCCTGGCAGCACACACGGCTTTCCCAGCCGAAACCCAGGTGTACACACAGCTTTCCCAGCCGAAAGCCTGGCAGGACACACGGCTTTCCCAGCCGAAAGCCAGCTGTACACTCAGCTTTCCCAGCCGAAAGCCAGCAGCACACACGGCTTTCCCAGCCTGGCCGCCCTCCCCGTGGCAGTGCGGAAGGCCCCAGCCATGTGCTGCCAAGTGAATTTAGGGAGAGCTCCGCAAGGCTGCCCGGAGCGATGGCAGCGCGGCACGCGGCCCCTCCGCAAGCCCCAGCTGGGATACACGACCTGCCTCCCCCGTCCTCCTGCCCCTCCCGCCCTCGCCGCGACCCCCGGGACTGTGGGGAGGAAGGAGAAGCCTCGGGAGCAGCCGCGGGGTTACGGGAGGGCAGGAAGGGCCTGGCAAAGGGGAGGGCGGCGGGGGCGCAACACCGGGTCCCAGTCCCGCTCCCACCAACCTAGCACACAGTCCAGGGAGGGCAGCCCGCTGGAGAGCAGCAGCTGCCCGTGGCGCACCGAGGGCCGAGTGCCAGGCAGGGCGGGCGGCCGCGGGCCGGCCCCGGGCCTGCGCTGGAAGCTGGTGCGGCCCCGCTCCCCGCCGGCCGCCGCCGCCATGTCGGGGCCGGGCACGCCGGGCCGGCGCTCCGCCAATGGGGGAGCGGCTCGGGCGGCCGCCGCCCAATGGGAGCCCGCGTTGTTGGCACGTGCGGAGCCGGGGGACGGCGGAGCGCTGCGGGGCCCGGCGGCGAACGGGGAGGTGAGAGCGGCACTGCGGGGCACCGGGGCCTTGCTCGGGGCTGAGGGGGCACCGCGGCCTTGCCCGGGGCTGAGGGGGGCCGGCAGCGGGCACGGAAGGGCGCGGGGAGCTCGGTGCGGGTGCTGTGGAGCGGACACCCGCTTGTCCCGCGGGGTGTCTGCACGGCCCGGCGTGCAGCGGGCCGGGGCGGACAGGCTCGCCTGGAGCGGCATCAGCCCCTCCGGAATGAGCCTGCAAGGGAAAAGTGCCTGTAAAACGTATTTTTGTGACTGCGTGTGACATATGTGACTGTACTTGGGGTCCCTGCCTGGTTGTGCAGAGCCACGGACCTGTAGCAGGTGTGTAGTTTAATGCCTTAACTGGGGAGCAAGATCTTGTGTCAGCGTGGACCAAGACAAAGTGTGGTAGAAAAAGTTAAAAGACATTAAAATGCTTTGACAAGTTCTAGTATGTTTGCTCTGTTCTGCTGCTCTGAAAGCAAGGGAAGCCCCTGTCATATATAGAACAGCCCCCATCACAAGTATTTCTCTGTTAGTTTTTCATCTGTTGGTGATTCAGAGGCATCCCAAGCTGCTTGAAGACACTTGTACAAGCAGGATAGAAAAACGAAGCTTTGATACTATAATCCCTCAGTCTTTAATTCCAGTGAATCGTGTTTACTGTTGTTCTAAGCCAACTTTCTGAACACCTGTGGTTCTTGAGTCTCTTTTTAATTGAGGGGAAAAAATCCTCGTGTTAAATACGAGCAGCATGAAAGAGCAGCAATATGTGGGCAGTCCTGAACCTCAGAGTTTCCCTTCGTATCCACTTCAAATTCAGGAGCATGAAACTTCAGCATGATGTCTCCCTAGCTGGGGAAAGGATGCTTTTTTTGCTGCTGGCCAAGCTTCCACACATGCTAAGCAGTAGACAAATCAGGATCTTTTATCAGGACTATCAAGAGGTAGTCTTAATGGCTTGTATTTTCTGCTAAACTCTGAAATATTGAATGATACTTAAATATAGATTATTGTTTAATGAAAGTTAGAAGTATCTGCCTGTAAAGGAGAAAAATCAAAGGAGTCTGGAAACCATGGCAAGAAATAAACATAGATGTTTAATTTCACTTCTGTAATATGTGACCAACGAGGTGTGAATATCTGTAACAGGAAAGGCCAACAAAATAAAGACCCAAAGAATAATTGACAATTCTTTTAAAAGGGGTTTGGGCCTCTGTTTCTGTCAGTGGGATCTTGTGGTGTGAATTCTGTCTGATTGAAGAGGAGCCTGAAACCTAGGGAGAGTTCTCCACTTCTAAAATTCACAGTTACTCTGCCTTTTCTTACTGTGCTGTGCTCCTGGAGCCCAAATCCCTGAAGATCTCAGGGATCTGGGTGCTTGCAGGTGTGTGTGACACAATTGCAGGATATCTGTTGAGAACTTTCAGGCGGGGGGGGCGGCCGCGGGCCGGCCCCGGGCCTGCGCTGGAAGCTGGTGCGGCCCCGCTCCCCGCCGGCCGCCGCCGCCATGTCGGGGCCGGGCACGCCGGGCCGGCGCTCCGCCAATGGGGGAGCGGCTCGGGCGGCCGCCGCCCAATGGGAGCCCGCGTTGTTGGCACGTGCGGAGCCGGGGGACGGCGGAGCTCTGCGGGGCCCGGCGGCGAACGGGGAGGTGAGAGCGGCACTGCGGGGCACCGGGGCCTTGCTCGGGGCTGAGGGGGCACCGCGGCCTTGCCCGGGGCTGAGGGGGCACCGCGGCCTTGCCCGGGGCTGAGGGGGCACCGCGGCCTTGCCCGGGGCTGAGGGGGGCCGGCAGCGGGCACGGAAGGGCGCGGGGAGCTCGGTGCGGGTGCTGTGGAGCGGACACCCGCTTGTCCCGCGGGGTGTCTGCACGGCCCGGCGTGCAGCGGGCCGGGGCGGACAGGCTCGCCTGGAGCGGCATCAGCCCCTCCGGAATGAGCCTGGGGGGGCCGGCAGCGGGCACGGAAGGGCGCGGGGAGCTCGGTGCGGGTGCTGTGGAGCGGACACCCGCTTGTCCCGCGGGGTGTCTGCACGGCCCGGCGTGCAGCGGGCCGGGGCGGACAGGCTCGCCTGGAGCGGCATCAGCCCCTCCGGAATGAGCCTGCAAGGGAAAAGTGCCTGTAAAACGTATTTTTGTGACTGCGTGTGACATATGTGACTGTACTTGGGGTCCCTGCCTGGTTGTGCAGAGCCACGGACCTGTAGCAGGTGTGTAGTTTAATGCCTTAACTGGGGAGCAAGATCTTGTGTCAGCGTGGACCAAGACAAAGTGTGGTAGAAAAAGTTAAAAGACATTAAAATGCTTTGACAAGTTCTAGTATGTTTGCTCTGTTCTGCTGCTCTGAAAGCAAGGGAAGCCCCTGTCATATATAGAACAGCCCCCATCACAAGTATTTCTCTGTTAGTTTTTCATCTGTTGGTGATTCAGAGGCATCCCAAGCTGCTTGAAGACACTTGTACAAGCAGGATAGAAAAACGAAGCTTTGATACTATAATCCCTCAGTCTTTAATTCCAGTGAATCGTGTTTACTGTTGTTCTAAGCCAACTTTCTGAACACCTGTGGTTCTTGAGTCTCTTTTTAATTGAGGGGAAAAAATCCTCGTGTTAAATACGAGCAGCATGAAAGAGCAGCAATATGTGGGCAGTCCTGAACCTCAGAGTTTCCCTTCGTATCCACTTCAAATTCAGGAGCATGAAACTTCAGCATGATGTCTCCCTAGCTGGGGAAAGGATGCTTTTTTTGCTGCTGGCCAAGCTTCCACACATGCTAAGCAGTAGACAAATCAGGATCTTTTATCAGGACTATCAAGAGGTAGTCTTAATGGCTTGTATTTTCTGCTAAACTCTGAAATATTGAATGATACTTAAATATAGATTATTGTTTAATGAAAGTTAGAAGTATCTGCCTGTAAAGGAGAAAAATCAAAGGAGTCTGGAAACCATGGCAAGAAATAAACATAGATGTTTAATTTCACTTCTGTAATATGTGACCAACGAGGTGTGAATATCTGTAACAGGAAAGGCCAACAAAATAAAGACCCAAAGAATAATTGACAATTCTTTTAAAAGGGGTTTGGGCCTCTGTTTCTGTCAGTGGGATCTTGTGGTGTGAATTCTGTCTGATTGAAGAGGAGCCTGAAACCTAGGGAGAGTTCTCCACTTCTAAAATTCACAGTTACTCTGCCTTTTCTTACTGTGCTGTGCTCCTGGAGCCCAAATCCCTGAAGATCTCAGGGATCTGGGTGCTTGCAGGTGTGTGTGACACAATTGCAGGATATCTGTTGAGAACTTTGTTACAGAAGCTCATGACCCAGTGATAAGGATATCTGATAAGTCACTGCTTGCCTGTCAGGAGGAGAATCCAGTGATAAACTGCACGTACTCAATCTCTGGGATGTTTTTTTCCCATTCCAAGCAGTACATTTTCTTACTTCATTAATACAAAGTATTTCCTTGCTTTATTGGTTTTTTAAATTAAAATACAGTGTTGTAGGTTGTCTTAACTTCACAGCATAGGTGTAGCATACATCCAGGGCTGAGCCCTCTCTTCTGTTCTTTCAATACTATTTGTCTGACATGTAAGGATTTTTTATACTTTTTTCATTTCCCTACAGGCCAGTTAAAATTGGAGGCTAAATAATTCCTTCTCTTTTTTTTTTTTTTTTTTAAATTTTTTCTCTTTCCTATTGGAAAGAGAACACACATAATGAAAGTATTTTGCAAATGGGAGCACTTGTGCCATGCCTCTACCGTTTGCAGTGTTTCTTGGATAACCTGCACATTTCCTGGCACTCACAGTGGTTCAGGAGCTGATCCAGTGGGTCAGGGTTGCAAGAGAGGAAATCTCACTCCCTCCTCCTCCTCTGTTTCCAGCACCAAACCCTGGTGCTGCTCAGTTCCCTCCTTGGGCTGGTTGAGCTCGCTGACCTGACTTGGAGCTATCGATTGACTTTCTCAATAGTTTCATTTTGTGCCATGCTGTGAGCTGGTGCTGCATGGAGAAGGGCAGCCCAACCTCCTAGCTCTTGCCAGCTGGGAACTTTATACTTATTTCAGAATAAAAACTGGATTTTTACATAGAAAATGGATTTTTACATAAAGTAATATTTTCGTTGCAAATTTTTTTTGTAGACATCCTTCCCAATATAAAGAAATTGTGTCTTGCATTGTAACAGCTTGAGAGACTGTTTCGTGTATAACAAAAATAACGAAGTAGATACAATTTTTTCCGTATGAGAACTGAACTTTTAAAATATAGCAGTAGTTCAGTTGTGGTGTTCATTTTTTCCCAGTCACGTTTTAATCTGCTGGGTGCAGTTAAATTCCTACTGATTTAGATAATGAGTGGAAATAGCTATTTTTCAGTAGGTGGGGGATTTTTCACATGTTAACATTTTAATAGAGTAAAGCTTTCTAACTGCTTATGTGCATACGGAAATACTGCTTACAACATCTGACTTTACCTGTATATCAGACAAATTTCAGAGAAGGAACTAATTTAATGGAGGTTTAATTTCATATTTATTTTTAGTTAATTATTTTTAAATCAATGATGTTTCATTTTCAGGAATAACGATATTTTTTCACCCTTTTTGAATGATACTGAAGGTTTGCTTATATTCACATGTCCAGTTTTGCAAAGGTGAATTTTCAGTCATTGTAGAAGATCCCATTAGGATCTGCTGTTTGGCAGAAAGCAAGACCACAGGAATTGCAGCTCTAAACATTACCCTAATCCTCAAATGCACATTATGAGGTAGATAAGTCCTACAGTTCCTGCTCTAGGTGTGGAATGGAAATGCAGAGAAACTAAGGAACATTGAAATTATTTCCAGTGCTCAGGAAGTGTCTTAGGAAGTTATTTCTTGTCAGCTGACCTATGGACAATTTGCAATGGACAGGGGTCCTACTCAGCTCATTGGAGAATGGAGAGGTTTAAACATCTTTGGTCTATTTTGGGATGTCTCAAACTGTAGAATATCAACTTTCCTTCCTCTCAGGTCGCATGTTGTCACGTAGACCTGGTCAAATGGGGATGTCAGTTTTAACTGCAAATCCTAACTGTGCTGTGGAGAAATCAAGCTCTCTCTCCTCTTATTGCAAACCTGCTGTCCAGTTTAGCTACTTGTCTGTGTAAAATGCAGATTCTAAGATGGGTTAAGAGGATTTTGGGTGAAAATTCCCTAAGGGAAAAAAAAAATGGAGGGAATACAATGGTAAGCAAGAGAGCAGTCAGAACATTTGGGAAAAGGTTATGCTTGGAATTTGATCTGCAACAACATTTGACATTTCTCTTCCAAAACTGTAGCCTATAGACTTGGGAGAAATCCTGGTGTCCCCAGAATAGCAGCCCTTAAAGTGTGCTTTGGATATTTGTGGTTGATAATGATGCCTCAGGTTTCAGCTTTTCTATTTCTCACATTCTGTGCTGCTTTAGTGTGTGGGTCTGGGCTTCACATGAGGGCATGGTGAGCTCTGTGCACAGAGCAGGGAGACAAAACAATTCCTGCTCCAGCTGGGCACCAAGGACAAATGATCCCAATCTCAGCCCAAGAGCACAAACAGCGTGGGCTGGAGAGAGAAAAACAAGCAGGATGGGAGTGCAGGGGCTGAGCTGGAATTGGACACTGAACTGCAATGTGCACATGGAGCAGAGCTGATCCCAGGGAGAGACCCCGTGAGCGCTCGTGCATTTTGGGACCATTTGGGTTCATCTTGGCTGCAGCCCTGGCTGGGCTCTTGTGCTGCCCAAGGTGGATCCATGGAGGAGATCCTTGGAAGGAATCCCTGCTTTATTCTGTAGCTCTGTCCAGCCTCTGCTCTGGGGCAGCCTGCACAAGGCATCAGCTTCTGGTGACCATGAAGGGACAGAAGGCATCAGTAAGAGGAAGCACAGTTGATGTGGCCTCTCTTTACCACGTGGTTTGTCCTTATGGGCTTGTAGAGCAAGTTAACACCAGCAGTGTTCCTCAACAACAGGGTGTTACACCTGGATGTGTTCTATCTGCTTTCAAATCAATGGTTTTGCTGCATTTTAATTGTGCTGCAGAAGATTCATGTATGCTCTTGTCTTTGAACAAAATGCTGTTCATTTTGGAATAAAACGCCAGCCCATTTTATTTCAAGTTTATTTCGTTTATGTATCTCTGCCAGACCAGTTTTCAGTGGTATTTTCCTGTAGGATTTACATGTGGGATAGAGAACCAGAAAACCACATCCCAGTAGCAGTTCTAATTCATAATCTTATTAGTGTTTGCTGTTCCATCTCCAGGCTGCTTCGCTCATCAGTTGTGGAATGTGCTGGTATTAGACTGTACTGATTAAAGTTTTATAGGCACCAAATCAGATTAGCCAGCGAGTCACCTGACCAGGCTGGGCTTGCAGTCATGTGAGCCACGCCCTGCTGAGCTCCTGCTGGCAGCTGAAACAAGGTAGTTTGCTTTTGAGATGTTCTTAAGTATCTAACAGCATGGGTCGTGGATTATGGCTGCAAAGAAGATGGCTTCATTTTCCTGATCTTTGAACTAGCTAGAATGGGATAAGTTTGAAAGTGCAGGATCTTCAGGCTATGAGCCAACAACTGGAAAGAATGTTTAATCCTGGAAGCTCTGACACCAAAAGACCTGGTTTTTTTTTTTTCAGTGTGAAAAAGCTTAAAGACTGCTTATTGAGTCAGTCTGTGGCAAATGAAAGAAGTATTTGGATTGTTTAGGACTTGCCAGTTGTATGATATTATATAAAACATAATATCTTATTCAGAAAGCCTCTGGATGTTACCTAAATTCATCCTTGTGGGTATCCTGAGCAACAGGAAAGAAATTTAAACCTGTGTCCCATTTAAACAGCTCTTTCAAAATAGAAATAAATCAAGAGACGTGAGTTAAAGTATGTGCTGAAGACAAGAAATTATTTTAAAAGTTACTTTATGTTTCTGTAATTTCAGAACTGTACAGTATTATATTACTGAAACCTGTAGAATAATAATCTTGAAAGTGAATTGTGAGTTTAATTTAGTGCATCATACAGATTAGTGCTGTATTTAATGGAGATTATTTTCCTTGTATTTCTCATACTTCCTGGTGAGACCCACAAACATGGAAGGAACCTCAGGTTTCTAGTGTGCTGGCCAATGATGTTTTCTGGTTATTGTCTCCCATAGATATTCCAGACAAGAATGCCAGCTTGATTTTTCAGCTCCCACTGACTTTCACAGCACTCTGGCCATCGACAGAGTGGGGCATGGACCAGGGTGTGCTGCAGTAAATAATTCTGCACTGATGTGTATTGCTTGCTCTTCAAAAAATCTGACTGGAATGGTAAACTAATTCGGTCACTGAGGGGCAGACGAAGAAAATTTTGGCCTTTAAGTAGTCAGGAAGTAAAATTGAGATTTTTTCAGTGTGCATTATAAAGTTGGATGTAAGACAAGCAAGCAATGTAGTAAAACTCGTTGTAAAGCCAGATTCACAGCTGTCTACTTAGGGAAATTTAAATTGTTTCAAATTTGAAATAATGTTTTGGTGAAATAATAAAATAAAATAATGAATGTCTGGCCTTTTTTTGTAGCCAGGCTGTATTTTAGCAAATCATCATTATTCTTTATCTCAGTGGATTCAGCTTCCATTTCCTACACTGAGCCTGCCAATTCCATACCAAAAGTTCTTTGTGTGAACCCCATTTCAGGAGCATCTATCTGGGAGCAGGGCTGACATTTTTTCCAATTTCACCCCCCCTTGTACTGAATTGCATTTTGTGTGAGATAATATATGTAAAAGGAATGAAAATGAATCAACATTTAAAACTGTAGATATTGAAACAGATTGAGGGAAGCCAAAATGTTATCAAGGTTCTAGAAATAACAATCCTCTAAGTGGTTACTGCAGAATAACTCAGTGTATTGCAAGTGGGACACACAATATTACTGAAACCTGCAGAACAATAATCTTGAAAATTAATTGTAAGTTTAATTCAGTTGTGGGTGCTGCTGGAAATGTGAGTTTCACTTGTTGTTTCAAAGTTCTGTCTTGGTTTTGTGTGTAAAGAACAGAATGTCTTATTTCATTGCAGTGAGGGGGTAATTAATCTGAAGTTTTAGCCCCAGGGTTTATTAGAATACCTGTGTCTCTTCAGCAGGCATGTTTTCAATATTTCTCTGATTTACAGCTGTGACTGTGTCCCTAGCAGAGGGAGAAAGGTAATGGAGCTTTTTTTTTTTTTTTTTTTGCACCCTGCTCTTATATTTCTGTGAAAACTGTTGTGAGGCTCACACATTCTTGGAGCCTCATGCTCCCACCTTTTCTCGATTGTGCTTCCATTGGTCCAAGAAGTGTGAAGCATTGATCTTGGTGTTCTCATGCTATTGCCAAGCCACAATGATTTTTTCATAGAATTTTTAACATTTCTGGCACAGAACTGAAATTCACAAACATTAAGTTGTAGGAGTATCATTAATTTTCTTAGCATGCACAAAGTGTCTGTGAAAGGAGCTGTACGACAGTCACTGATTTTCCTTTTAGAAAAGCAATGTATTATGGAAGAAAGGGCAAGCCATGTTCCATACTTTTGGAACAAACCAGATGAGCAAATGTAGATGAAATGAAATCTTAGCACTTACTAAAACCCTAAATAGTTTTAAAGAATGCAATTCAGGGAGGCAGTACTAATGAAATTATACTGTGCTTGTTTCTGTACCGCTTTTCTGTTTCACAAGTACTTGTGTCCTCTTTGGGGGGGATGTGTGTGGTAAAATGAACCATGCAGGCTATGCTTGGTGATGTGTTTGGTATCAGTGAGGGTGCAGTTTGTGGGGCTAGAGCGTGCTCAGCACCTCAGCTTAGGATCATTTGCTAAATTGGAGAAAGGCACCTCTACTTATTTGATTCACTAAGTAGTCAGTTTTCACATTTATTATTGTGTCAGCTGTATCTTTTATTTTAAACCATCAAATTAAATAATAGCTTATGCTAGCTTTCTATTTTAGTTCATGCATTTAAAACCTGGAAGTCAGATAAAAAGATAGTTTCAGAATAAATTCAAGTATATTATTTATGAGTGGAGCAACACATTAGCATGGAGTTCACAATAGATCATATCGCTTTTATTCCATCTTACAAGCTTAGCAGCACAAACAGAATAATCAACATATTATTTGGCTGTCATCTGCTGAACAGAAAGCAGAGATCACAAGGAGGTTTTCCCTAGCTGCAGTGATGGCCTTTTTGTTCCAAGCCCCCATCTGGGAGGGCCATGGTGTGTTATCATATGGAACGCGGGGTTTGCTGTAATCTGCTTAGCTGCACTGCAGTTTGAATCTTTATTCCATGTTTGTGTAATTTATAATTTTAATGAGACCGTGGCTCTTGTGGGCTTTGAAATATATTAAAAGCTCTTTTGTGCATATGCTTTTGTTCTTGCTTAATAGGCTCAGTGTATTTAAAACTGATGAATTTTTATTCATGGATTTGGATGTCTGGGGATTAACTTAGACTGAATATCATTGCACTCATCTATTGATGTTTGGAACTTTTTTATACTTGTATCTCTAAGTGGAGAAGACCTTACAGAACTTGTGTTTTACACGTAAAACAGCTCAGAAATAACTATTAAATTTTATTGAGCAATGAGCAGAAATACTGATTATAGTTATTGTTTTACTTCATAAACTCTCCTGAAGTACCGTTTTGCTCTGAAAACAAGTCCTTGAGTCCATGTACATGTGTGTATTTAGAACATTGTAACTAAAAAGCAGTTTGGGAAAGTGGTCAATATTTTTGCAGAATAACAGCAGTGATAAGCACTTGATTTACATTTTTCTTCTATTCAGGTAACTTGAAAATGTAAATATTGAGGACTCTCTTGTTTGACTGTGTTGCCTTTCTCCTGTTTTAACACATTTTTTTAATGCAGAGTGTGCATAAGCTATTTCATTAGAAGGTGATGCTCATAACTGGGGAGTATTGATAAACATGCAGAAGGATTCTTCACTGCTATTTTCTGACAGTGCTAAAATTGATCTTGTTTTTTGCTTTTGTATTTTTCATATGTTTAATGGTTTGTTTATTTGTTTGATTTGCTATTTGTGTAAAGACTTGATACTTTGTGACTTCTGTCTTTTAAACTACTGTGGAGCACTCTTCAATGATGGCATTCTCTCTGAGACCAACGCTGATAATAAGATGGAGACAACTGTGTTTTTTCTAAATAGTCTTGCTGATGGTGTGCTGAAATGTGAAGGGGGTTTAGGTTTTTGTTTGTGGTGTTTTTGTTGGATTTGCTGTTTTTTTACCAGCAAACCATCCTCTTTGTAATGACAGAATATTTTAAGTAAACAGCCTTTTTAGTTCTCAGTGCACAGGGGAGTTATTTATCCCTCTTCCCTTCACTGCTTTGAGTAGTATTTCCAAAATCGTATTTCCACAAGCTGTGTCAGCTGGGAAGTGCAGAGGACATGTGAGCCGTGGGCAACTTCATGTTCTGTAGGGTTGTAGATTTTTAGTGCCTGATGTGAGAATTAGGCTTGTAACTCTTTGTCTTACTAAATTGAAATGAATTTTCAGTGTTGATGTGTCTGTGTCTGAAGGAAGTGAATGTATTGAAATTGAAGATAAACACGTGTTGTTATTTGACCATTGTGACATAGGCACAGCCCGTTTTTCTCAGTTACCAGGAACGTGACTATGGTGTCTGCCAGACCTTTGGTGTTTGTCCTGACTTTGACCTTGTTGCAGAAGACTGTAAAGTGAATATTTTGGCATCCCTCAGAGGCCCATGTATGACCATGTCTTTGCTCAGCTGTCTGGATTTCGCTGTTCAGCAAAGAGGAGTGAATGGAGCTGCGGAGGAGGACAAGCTTTGGAATGCATCTGGCCATTAAAACAGCGTTTTATTCAGGGTTGTGCAAGTGTTAGGAGCTGCTTCCCAAAGGTAAATAGAACCAGTGAGAACTACCTGAAATCTGTGTTGGGAAATTGCTCATTCTTGTCGGTAGTCTCTGGTTATTTAACACCAGCCAATTGTGTTATGTTTACAGGATTAAACTCCTTGTCAGCTTGACATCAGCAGCTGAAGGAGCTCTTGTTGGAGACAAACTGCCAGTGCCTAGTAGAGATAATGTGTAAAAAAGCAATCTCTTCCAGAATATCACCAAGCTTGCTCACATTTGCCAGACCAAGTCCAGTGTTTCTCCCAGAGTAAAGCAACAGCTGGAAATAAAAAGCAATTCTTCTGATCTCCATCACAGAGGGACCTTTTGAAAATTGTTCTTTATTTTGCTTTAGATATTCAGAATACTCAGATTGAAATTAGAATATTTAAAGCATTTTGTATATTTGTATATATATTTAAAGCATATTGTGTATCTAATATGGGAAGTGTCCAAAAAGAAGTTACACACCCTTCGCTCTTCTACACGTGTGACATCAGTTTCATGCAGAAGTTTTAAAATAATAGTTTAATATAAATAACAGCTCAAACATAAATATTTAACTGGCCTAGTCAGCGTGCAGTTTTTTCTTTGGTTTGGGTTTTTGGATTGTTTTTTAAAGTAATCTCAGGGTAATTCTATGGGAAAGAGATGGTGCAAGTTATGTGTAGAGAAAGGTGTCTGGTTAGAAGTAGAGAATGTTAGAAGAGTTTCTGTTATGGAAGGAAAAACTGATAATCTCTCACTACGAATTCCATGAAATTCCAGAATTGGGAAACATTATATAAAGCAAATGTGACCAGAAATGTCTTATGAAAGTGAAAAATCTATTTAGTGCCAAATGCAGTGATTTGTTTAGTCACACCTTCAGTGCCTGCAACTTTGATTTTCCTGTATTTAAAAATTTCTGTATTTAAAAATTCCTGGTTTTCTGGAAATGATAAATCTGCTCATTGATTTTCTAATTTTATTATGTACACAATGATTGTAATCCAAGATTACAGCAAACAAGATGTTAATTTCTAGACAACCTCTGTACATTTCCCTCAGAGTGCGAGCTCTACAGAAGCAAGGAGTACAAAGAGAATACCATTTGTGCTATCCTCACAGGAGCTGTCAATAAAAGATGTAATAGGGGATTTAGGAATCTGGAAATGGCCAACTAATTTATGTGAATCTATTTTATTTCAGCTAGAAAGCCCAAGCTCTGTTTCGTCTGCACTGCATATTGCAGAGCACAGGCTGTCTATAGAAAACCAGGCGGCTGCATATGGATAGTCCCTTGATATCATTCACTTGCTGTGTAATCTTATTATGCAAAGTTCTAATCTTCACCTAGAATGAATGCCTCTGGGTCAGAATATAGTCATATCAGGGTTTTTGAGGTCATGTTTTGTGATCCTTAGCTTATTCTTCTAAGTAGAGCTGGGATTTAAAGAGTATTCCCCAGACACTAGCAGAGATAGACGGCAAAACCTGCTGCCTTTTTGGAAGACAAGACCAACATGAGGTCCCTGGTAGGATTAAACTTGATTTGTAGCTGTAGGATTTTTTAACAGATGTATTATTGGACAGGGAATAGGGGGCCACCAGCACAGCGAAATTGGATCACAATTGGCATTCTCAGGGAGTCCGCTGGCTGCTAAAACAGCAGCTGCATGTGGATTTGACTTCTTTCAGGTGAAGCGACTTCCAGTCATTTGGAAAGGATGGGATGAAAAGGAACCTTGGTGATAATTTTGATGTCTGCAAGATTTAGTACCAATGTAATGGGATTATCGGTAACACCTTCGCTGCAGAAAAAGCCACCTGGCGCTATAACTGGCAGCAACTGAGAACTAATCCTTTCCCATCTCTTGGATGTCATTCATGAGGCTCAAAGTGATTTCTACCCTGCTAGCTGTGATTAATTTTATAAACAAACAAACAAAAACCGAGTGATGAAAGCACAGGCTGTGGAAGGAAAAGGGAACAGAAGATACTAGTAATTACATTTTACATTTTATTTGCTGTGTATTTTACAACTTTACAGTTGTGGTAAGATAATGAGATTGTGTTCTCTGTGATAAATATGGATGTGTGACCTTTTTTAACCAATGTTGATTTCAGTAGAAATTTTTCAGCTACCTGCTGTATGATAGTAGGTAGTACCTGGAAGTAATTACAACAGGTTTTAGGCCATTAGTTCTGCAATAAGGATGTTTATAGTACAGAGCCATTCAGTTTTCAAGGGGCCTGTGACTTAAATAATTTGTTTTATTGTGCTTAATGGTCTTATGTTTGATCTGGTGGAGGTGCCTGCTGATGGTAGTTTGTATTAAAATTGTCAGGTGGAAAACTGTTCAGCTGTTTACTTTCTTGTGATCAACAGTATGGCATTGTTTCAAAAATGTAATGATACGAAGTTTTCAGAGGAAACAATTCTATTTCAACAATTATACTTTTTAACAATTATATTTTAATGATGCTGAAGTTAATTATTTCTGTGTGGTTTTGTTTTTTTTTTTTTTTTTTTAATAAACTAATTTGGTCTGGTTTTTTTTTATTGGACTTGCTACAACCAGTTATTTAACTAGAAGTTATTACTTAAAATGACATGGAAACTTTTAAGATTTTAGTTCTTTGGAATGAATATTAGATGTCTAAAGATGAGCCTTAACATTTAAAACACCCTCCCATCCTCAGGAGGTACCTTGCCAGGTCAGACTGTATAATCCAGATATATATGTGTCTTCATTTGAAATTACTTTCTTGAGTAGCACTCAAAAGCTTTTGTGTAAAGCTAAGAATTATTTGATCATTATCATAAAATCTGATAAGCTTGAGCATTTAAAAAAAATCCTTATTACTAAATTTGTAAGAAGAGGTTGGTTAAATCTATGTCTTGGGAGTTAAGAATTTATTTTAAGGAAACTGGGAACAAAATTTGAGAGCTCTTCACTCATGGTCTGTCCTTGTGGTTAGGTTTTTTTTCCATGGCAGCTCTGGTAGCAAGCAAAGCTCACTCTGAGTCCTGGGTTTCCCTGAGTAGCTCCCAAATCTACACACTAGCATCCCAGGGAAATGTGTCCAGGGTAGCTATCCTTGTTTGTGTCACCCAAAGCCCAAAAGGAAATGGCTTGCAATCACTTTGAAACTTGTTTTCTGACATGTATAGCAGTTGTTTGGCGTTTCATAATAGAAATATTTTAGTTACAACTTGATAGCTGTTGACATGGGAGGCTTGCACGTTCTCTCGATGTTGTTACTGTTTATTTGTCCCAGTTTGATCTGTGGACTCTGGGTATTGTAATGCATTATTTGTAAATGCCTTTTTACCTGCAGTACCCACAGGTGCCTAAATTCTCTACTATCTTAATATGTTAATATAAGGTTTCTGAATAGCATGGAGAAAAATAGAGGATGCTTCTGCACTATTATTCTTTCTCCCTGAAAGTGAATCAATATGAGGCTCCTTCCTAGCAAGTGCTGTTAAGAAGGATTGATGACGGACTTCTCTCAAAACGTAGTTGTGCATTCACCTACTTCTGCAACTCAGATTCATCTGCTGTGCCTCCACCTTCCTTTTGTGACCTGTGTCACAGTTCTGGGCTCTCAGTGTGTCTGACCTGAGTAAGGCATTGGTTGGGGCACTGAATTGAGAGGAGCCAACCACTTCTGTGCCTCACCAGAATGGATTCTGCTGAAAGTGCATTCCCCCTTCCGGGGGAGCTGTTCCAGTTCCTGCAGTGTCCTGCAGCGTGCTGGGTGCTGCATCTCCCTGACACAATTCTGTTTGCCACTGTATTTCAGGACATTACTGTGAAAATGGTCAGACAGTGAATGATGAATCACAGCTTGGTTTAAGTTGTTTTAGTCCAGAGAAGTTTGTGTAGATAAAAAAAGTATGGTCTCTTTTGGAACAAGGAAATTAACTTGTTAGAGAGTGTTTACTCCCAATAATGTTGTCTTTTGAATGTAGTCAGGCAGAACTCCCACTAAATTCTAGTCAGAGTTGTGACAATAAAGCTGTGCACTTTAAAATTCCTGTCTTTAATTTGTGAAATGTAGAAGAAGATTATTTCATTTTGAAGTGGGCATGTTTACACAGCGTTTTTCCTTTTTTTTTTCTTTTCAACATACTGTATTTGCTCAGCAAACTCTAGTGACCCATCTTAGTAAAAGAGGGAAATCTTGCAGTGGTTTTAGTTATGAGAAGGCAACACTGAGTTTAAGGGGAGCAGCTATTTTGCAGAATGTAGACTTTTTTGCTTCAGTTACTTTGTTAGATCTGTTTTCCACTTCCTTAAGTGTAACCACCAAATTGTGATAAGGAAACATTTTATTTAGATTAGCATTGCAGGAATTGGATCTTCTAATCAGAGTTGGACTTGAATATTTGGGGAGGGGGGTCAGGAAATGTTTACAGCTGCAGAAGTTATAGCACTGTGCTGCAGTGAGAACAGAAAAACCTGATGCCTTATTTCTCTATGCACCTCTTCAGGTCTGTCTGATTATTTGTTAGTATCATTACACTGTTGGGTGTTTTTAATCTTGTCCACCTGCTACACACAAAAGATGGGTTTGTAAATGTTGGATTGCTTGCTCTCCAATGAATGATCCTCTTCTGTTTTGCTGTAGAGCCAGCTGGGCACCATCGCACTGTAGGATGCTTCGCAATGCCCTAGGAAAAACCTTCCGATTTCTGGGGTACACGGTGCAATATGGCTGCATAGCACACTGTGCCTTTGAGTACCTTGGAGGAATTGTTGTGGTAACTCTTCATTTTCATGACATTTAAAAGGAGATCAAACTGTAATAATTTTTCTATGTGACGATGCGATGTCAATATTTCAGGTTTCTTAATTTTCTTTGAAGCATTTAACACAATTTATGGGAAGCAGGTCCGGCCTTTGTGAAAGTTCTTTGTGCTTTAGTCATTCACATTTTCTGATGTGTTATTGCTTGAGGCATCACTGAAGTAAATGGGAAACTGATTAAGCCTTTTGCACAGAGTCCATCCTTTAAAAAAATCACTGGAGTCAGTGACAGGAAATGCCTTTGTTTCACACTCTGGCCAAGTTTCTGAGTGTTTTATGCTCCTGCCCCTCCTCCCCAGGTCCTTAACCTTGCAGATACTGCTGTTGGGCATGGGGGAGTTTGGCTGTGAGCTGCTCTTGCAGCTTCTGTGATGATTCTGTGTCACAGAGCAGAGAAAGGGGTAAGCTGGTAGGGCTTTGAGCACTGCTCCTAAAAATTTCCTGGAGATGCAGTGCTGAAAGGAGTGCATAAGAGCCTGTAGCACCTGATGCAGTTCAGGACCAATCCCAAGGAAATATGGAGCTGTAGCAGTTAGAGATGCTCTGTAGGCTCCCCTCAGCTATTAAATGCATCACACATTCCTTGCAGGAGCTCAGTTTTAGTTCTCTACATTCCACCTTTTCTAATTTATTACCATATCATTTGACTATAAGTTTATCTTAGGTAGAAGTGGTTTGAAATAGTAATTTTTTTCTCCTTTCTTTTTCATTTGCAGTGTTCTGGACCTTCCATGGAACCAACCATTCAGAACTCTGATGTTGTCTTTTCAGAGAACCTCAGCCGCCACTTTTACTGCATTCGAAAGTACGCTGCTCTCTTGAGAGCACATCTGGCATTCCCTTTGCCAGGGCTTGTCAATAATCACATTCTGCCCTTTATTTTTAGTGTACTTTTCTGCTTCTAACTTGTAATTTTTCATTGTGTCTAAAGGATCTTAAAATTACCAGCACAAACAGCCCAATGAACAACTTGTCAAAATTCAGTTTGGGTTTAGTCTGTTGTCGCTATCACACCTTTGTCCAAATAATAGAAAAAAATCCTTTTTTTCCTCCCCCTGAATGATTCTACTGAGTGAATGTAACTTCTCTAAGCAGTTTGGTCTTGAAAACCAGCTATGGGCATTACTGGTCTCAGGTTGTAGTCTTAAATGTTACACAAATGATCTCAATAACAGTTTTAAAACTCTGTGAAATTACACCTGAGTAAAACTGAAGAAGCCAAAATTGTACGCAAGAATTTTCAGCACAATGGACTGTCTTTAATATGTGTGAATATTTTTGGAGTAGATACATGGATGCTCATGTACTTAGCGAAATAGTTTGTAATTAGAATTCTTCTGTTTGTTTTTGTTTTTTTCCTCTCAGAGGAGATATTGTAATTGTGAAAAGCCCAAATGACCCCAAATCAAATATCTGTAAAAGAGTAATTGGCTTGGAAGGGGATAAAGTCTGCACAAGCAACCCTTCAGATTTCCTTAAGAGTCACAGCTATGTAAGTATTAGAGTTTCTTCCTATGTAAATTAATGATTACTTAAGTAGCCCTGATTGTCTGTAAAGGTTTTGCAATATTTGAGGATCGTAATAAATAATAAATTATGACATGAATAAATAATTATTATTGAATATGTACAGTAACAAGTTGTATTTTTAGACTGTGTATGCCAGGCTGTCTTTTTCTGCCTTTTGTTTCTGTAGGAACTGTAGACAGATAATATTTCTGCTGTGCCTTTTGGAAGAATACTCTGAAATTCTCTGTATAAAGTGCAAAAGACAGATGCAGGTGCTTGGTGTTCAGGCAAAACTGTTCCTGTATTTTAAACGCTAAGAAGTGAATATTTGACTCTTCAATAGCTTTGCAGATTTTCCTTACAAAATTATACTTTAGTGTAGCTCTATTTCAATGTAGCAATATTTTCATGTTCCTCAGTATGGTAACTCGGCCAAAATGTCAGGTGATGCAATCAAAAGGGAAAATCAGTCTCAATGTTCATTTGTCCTTATGCAGATAGACTTCACAGGAGTTTGGGAAGATCAGTGACAAAATGTTTTTAGCAACTACTTTTTAGGCTATCATGAGAAAAATCCTCAGGAATGATGATCACAGAAAAATGTAGGTTTTCTCTTGTCCCAGCAGTGCGTTTAACTGGTACCTGTATTCAGCACTTGTGGAACCATCAGCTATTCCCAGGTGTTCTGAATCTTAAAACAAAGCTGTGATTTTGCCCTTTCATATCCACTCCATCCTCAGAATAAGAAGAATGGGCATGTGGGCAAAGCCCTGTGCTGAGAAGGTGGAGAATTTTATGGAACAGTCCTTACAGGCAGCTACAGTGTGTGACACAGAAATCCTGTAAGAATTTGGCTTCCATAAAGGCAGCCACCTTCACCAGGGAGCCTCCAGCTACCATTGCTTCATTTGTATTGAGCAGCTGAAGTGGAGTTTGTCTTTACTTAAAGCAAAAATTCTTGTTTAGCACCAGGAAGTAAGCACATGAGTTATACCCTGCTCTGTGGGTTTGGATTTGTTCTTTCACTCCAGTGTTGAGGCGAGACACCTTGGGCACCTGCCTCTAATCCGCACTTCTGCTGTAATGCCAGTGCCACTGAGCTGCTGTTTTTATACTTTGCTCACTTGTGAGCATACAGAAGGAGCTCATTCTCTGTTGCATTTTGAAGGGGAGGACAAAACATTTAGTTTTTCCACAAATCATTTTGTGTTAACCATTTAACCAAGGAAAAACCTACCAAAACTCCCAAAGAACATAAACCCACCTTTCTCACCAAGTTAAAGGAATCCTCTAGCTCTGGTGGAGCTCATAATTGTGATGGAATGCACATTTCCCAGAGGAGAACAACCTGAATTCTGTGTACACTGACAGAAGACACAAACTGAATTTCTCTGAGCATCTTTTTCCTCACTTGTCTTAATCTTGAGAAGGAAGTTCAGGAAAGATTTGTACTTAAAACAGGATGTCAGCTTTTCTGGAAACACTGAAGTGACCAAGTGAATTTTCAGCAGAACAATTTCTGCCCTAGTGCAGGATTTCTTGTCTCCAATTCTAATCCAAAACATGAGGAGAAATAGCAGATGGGGAATGCAGAGTACCTTTCCTGTTTTCATAAAGGCTAAGGAAATACAGAGAGGTGACAAGCTTTTTTAATTTTTACACCATAAGTTGTATCTAGGAGGAGAAGTTATCTAAATGGAAGTGCTCTTGTGCCTGATACCTGTTTTCCTGCTACCTTTAGTGCTTGGTAAAGAGGTAGGTCCTTCCATCTGTTCAGGAGACACTTCCTTTACAGAAGAGTAAATTCTCAGTGTGGATATCTGTACTTTATGTTCATAACTGAGGCTGGATTACTCACTAAGTAAATTGTTGGGGAGGGGAAACGTGATATGTATTTATGTTTAGGCAATTGCCTCATCAAATTCCTTCTTTTAGTGAATCACTGCTATGCACTTTTAGCTCAAACACAGAATTCCTCACAGCAAATAATGGCAGCAGATGTACAGAGAACTGGCTGCTTTGTTGATACTTGCCTGAGGTGGGTTTTTGAAAAAAAAGATTGTCCAAGCTGAGGAAAGGCCTGGCTGTGGTTCCAAACGGCCAGGAGTACTGCTGGGGGGGTTCTGTCTGCCAGGGAAGGTGCCACTCCTGATGCAGGCAAAGCCTGGAAAGTGTAATGAGTTCTGCACTTTATATTTGGCTATTAACTGCCTTTTTTCAAACAGGAAATCTGAATGTGGGTGAATGCTGTGACTCCAAAGTGTGTAAGGTCAGAGCAGTCTTTGTTTTTATTATAGCAAACTGCTCAGCTTTCCTTGAGGGCTTGTCTCCTATTTTGAGAAGTTTCTGTTGTGTCTGCAGACTTACACAGTAAATGGGAATATCAGATGCCAGCAATATTGCCGAATTAGGCAGCTCAGACCCCTGCTTCAGTCTGTGCTGCTGGTTGCTAACTAGTGGATAGGTTTTCTGAGCTAGCCAGTTCCTGGAGATGGCAGAGTAATGGCCATACAATGTACTTCATGCAGCTGAGGGGGAAATGACCTGTAAGCACTGCTTTAGATTTGCCCTAAAAGGAGAATGCTTTGAGCCATGTTAGTAGGAATTGTGCTTAGTCTGTATTGACTGTGTCATTGGTAGTGTTGGCATATTTTACAGCATTAAAGTTTGGGATTTTTGTGCTTAGAAGCATTGTCACACACAATTCTTACCCTGAAGCCTAAGAGAATGCTAAAATCAGATCCTACCTGAGGTGCTGGTTCATTCGTGATTATACTTCTCAGGATGCCTTTGTATGTAGGTAGGAGAATGGAGAACTCTGTTTACAATTTGTTCTCTGTAAAATTACACAGATGAGATACATTATTGCTGCAAACAACCAAGGAGATACCTGTAGATTAAAAAAAAATCCAAACACAACAAACCAACCTTCCAAGCTATAATGAAAAGAAACAAACAAAAAAACCCCCCATACACAGGATGAATAACTTGTTCTGAAAAGAAGCATTTCAGCTGAGTAGAAATGCACAGTAGCAGTGGCAGTTAAAATACTCTTGCTGCTCTATTTAACTGAAGGAATACATCATAAGAGGAAATTATTTTTGTCAGAGTGCATTAAAGCTAAAGCTGTATCAAAAACCTGTCTTTGATGGAGTTGGATTACAGGCTGATGGAACTAATGCCACATATAAAACTGAGTGGTATAAATTAGGCATGTGCTGAAATTACAATTTAAGTACATACGATTGGAGTTTATCTGTAGAACAATAATTAGGGAAGTCTTCCTATTTACATGAAAGTATAATGAAATCCCTTTTTTGAATAAGCTGCTATAGTATTACAAAGTTAGGAAAAGGTAGTTTTCCCTTTTTTTGATATCTGATATGGAATGTGAGCATTAGGCTGGCAGTTTTGCAGGGTTCTTTTTTGATTTTGTGCTAAATGTACATTTGTAAGTAGGAACAAGTGTATTTGCTGTAATAAACATTTAAGAATGCATAATGTGTTTTTTCTGTATCAGAGGCAATGTGGTATGAACCCAGAAGTTAAAAAGGTAAACAACTAATGTTATATTCAGAAATAGTTTCACTTATTAAGGGATATCCTATTTTATTCATTTAACTATATAGGGATTAAGGAGGATTAATAAGGAAATTAATCACAACCCCTGAAATGGTCCTTGTAAAAAAACCAGAACAGCAGAGAGGTTATTTTTCATATTTAGGCTTTTATTTCCTGTTTTAAAATGTCTTAATACAGGTTTATAATTCAGATTGAGTATCTTATTGCTGTATTTGAATTTGCTTTAATGCCATTTAATTTAGCTTTAATTTCTTTACCTACCATATGTTCTTGTGCTGCAGGCCCTATTTACAGTGTGAAAAAGTGAGGGCTAAACCATCAGAATCAAACAGCTTGTGTGTCGTAAACCACCAATATGCTGAGCCTTTGAGGCACTTAAACAAAAGTAGTCCCTAATAATGTCACTTAATAGAGGCAGAGTCTGTAAATAAGGAACTGCCTCGTGCAAGGCCCGGTGATAAAAAGCTGAGATACAAATCCATATCTCAGCAACACCGTGCCGGTGATCAATCAGCTCCCACTAATGCTGCCAGCCTGGCTGCTGGGGCAGTGTTTGCCTTGTGCTGCAGCACAATGAGCCTTGCCACGGAGATGGCATCTCCTCATCCTGTGGGAGCTCCAGAGCCAGCAGAATTCCCAAGATAATGCACCTCGCTGTGTTTGCACAGTGCTGTTAACTCTTCAGCAGCTCTTGGCTAATGCAGGAAGAATATGACGTGGGTAACATAATGTCAAGGCAAACCACACAGAATTGTAATCACAGGGCTTGAATGCGCCCTGCAAGACACTGAAAAGTGGTTTGATATTTCAGAGCACTCAGTACTCTTGGATAGTCATTTTAAGGTATCCTAAATAGCAATTAAAAATAAACTTAATTAAAACACCACTTCTTTTCCCTTTGCTCTAAGCATCGTAATGTTTCCACTCATGGTTTAGTAGTTCACTGAGTAAGTTTCAGTAGTTGCTGATATGGAAAATGAGTAAGGTATTTTCTTGCTCCTCCTTAGATCTAAGTGTTCTAGAGGCTTGAGAGAAAGTCATGCCATAATTCTAACCAGCAGCTGTGCTGAGTGTCTGTGGGAGAGGAGAGCTAATTTGGCATATTTGTTGGTTTGCAGATGGCTCTATATGCCAGTACAGAGAATTCATGACTCATGCTTACCTTGACTTTTCTGAGAAGTCGTTTTAAATCAAAATTCTGATTTGTCAAAACTAAATTGTTCACAGGCAAAGAAACACAAAGGATTTTATCAGTCTAATTCCCAATATTTCTAGGATTTCTTCTGTTCAAGTGGCTTGGTCTTTATGCCTTTGCAGTTTCAGGAGCACAGAAGTAGCCACATCTTATGATTCTGTTTCTCCTCTGCTCACAGTTCAGTAATAACTTCTGGGAAGCTGCTC